TCCCTGGTGGTGGTTGCTCCCCTCTTGCCCCTGTGAGTTTATTTGTTGGGCCCTGTTTCTTGTCTCTTGATGTAGGGCACGTGAAGCTCTCAGGCAGTGCCTTCCTGACCAACTGAAGGACACCACCTTTGCCCAGGTCCTGAAGGATGACACCACCACAAAGCGCTGGCTGGCTCAGCTCGTCAAGAACCTGCAAGAGGGTCAAGTCACTGACCCACGGGGCATCCCTCTTCCTCCGCAATGACTGCTGGGGGAGTTGGGGGACCGGGGAAGAAACAGCTCAGGTTTACAAAGAACCAGGAACAGGTGACCTCTTCCACAACAAACTGGGCACGCCAGCTGGCTGCTGGCCTGTCGGACCATCCCGCCCAGCCCAAGGGCTGCGCTGTAGCAACAATGCAGCATGCCTCTGGGGATCGCAACACCAGCAAATGCTGATACTACAGCTTCAAAAAAAGAAAAAAAAAAAAATCAATAAAAACAATCTGTCAAGATCCCCATCTCTCCAGGAGGCTTGGCTGGCATCTCTCCCCCCACCGCCAGGCAGGGGGGAGTGCAGATGTCTGCTCTTTCAGCTAGCTCAGCCTCTGCCCAAGCGCTGTGTGACACGGGGTGTGCGTGCCACGTCCCACCAGTTCCTTGTCGCTTCTTGTTTACACGTCTCTTTAGATGAGTGAGCTGAATAAAAGCTGATCCAGTTGTTTTATCCCCTCTTAAGACTGCTGCTCAGCTGCAGGTAGCCCAGGGACGGCTTTCTTCCCTGCCAGTGCATCCTTGCTCCTGGCTCTGCATCCGGCTGACGCAGTGACGTTCTCCCTCCCTTTTCTTTGGTGTGGAGGCAGTGGCTGGAGCCAGACCACCGCGGCACGTGCCCCAAGAGGAGGGGTGAATTACTTGTGATGAACCCACGTGTCATAAGCTTGCTTCCCGGGGCTCTGGGGGAGGAGAAGACATCAGGACTGTGGCTCTTGTGCTGTAAATGGTGCGCTCCAGCAGCTAACCAGCAGCTGGGGGCTGATGTTTGCTGGCCTCCCATGTAGCCCAGCTCTGGCCCATTGGGGCTGCTGGCTGGCTAGTCAAGAGTTCAGTGTTGGGAAACCTGCCTTATGGTGGTCGGCAGGCCACCGACTGATGCTCCCCTGCTGTGGAACAGCTGGGAGCAATTCCAGCTTATGCCTCTGCCTGCCAGGCCTCTCCCGGTCCTGGCCCCCCTTCCTTTCCCCCCTCCTCCAGCTCCTCTCTGCCAGCCGGGTGCATCCATTTCAGCTTTCAAACCTGCCTTGGCATCTGCCTCAGCCCCACTGCAATTAAACTGGACCAGCAGCCGCTTACCTGCCTTCCCTGTGCTGAGGGGCTAGTGCGGCCGCGGTGGGCGCTGGGAAGTGGCCGTGGAGCTCCTGGGCCCTGCTGCTGCGGCGGAGCCTGCTCTGCCTGCTCTTGGCTGCAGGCAAGCCTGGGCAGCTACTTGATTTCTCCCCCCTCGTTTTGCTGATCATCCGTGGTGTTGTGCCAAGAGTGTCTTAAATCCCATCTCCTTTCCCTCCCCCTCGCAGCCTTGCGTAACCAGGGCAGAGCGTGGCCTCTTCCTTTGCCCCCGGGTGCCGTTTTATAACCATAGCCGCCTTTTCCCTTCCTTCCCCCCGACCTTGACAGGGTGTGAAAATGCTTCTGTTTGGGTTTGGGTTTTTTTGTAAGTTTGGATTAATAAATAATAAAACCCCAGCCAGCACAGATTGCTCCCGGTCTGGTCTCTTGGGGAGGGTAAGCGGAGAGGCAGGGGGGGATTTATTGCTGGCGGGAGGAGAGGGGAAGCGGGGCTTGTGAGCTGGGGAGAGCATGTGGCCTTTCCTGGTGGGAGCTGGCTGCATCCATGCGGCACCCCATCTCTTCTGGAGCAGGTAGCGTGGAGGGGTTTTGGGGAAGAGGTGCTGCTCTATCCCACTTTGCAGGAAGGTGGGGAGCCTGTTGGGGGAGAGGGCTCGCTGCCCTCCTGCAGCGATTGCTGGACTCACCCAGGGTCCGGCTCTGTCCACCTGAAAGCGCTCACACCCAACTCCAAACCTTCCTCAAGGGTGCCCCAGCTTGGTTTCCCACCAGGGTTTTGCCCCCCAGAGTGATCTTTGGGTCCTGCATCTCTTCCCCTGCAGGGTCCTGGGAAGGGGCAGGGACACACCGGCCACTC